AAGGCAGAAACAGCAGCAGTCTCCCAATGAGCCTGTCCTGGAATACTCTGGTACCACTCTCGCTAGGAGCTTGAAATAGGCCAGTAATGGGGCTAGCCGCCCCACATTACTTGGCCTTCAGCAATCCTGCTTCCTCTCTTGCAAGATAAAAGCTGGTAAAGACGAAATCAAAGGGGGAGAGGGGAAACCACAGCAGCTTGAGTGGCTGCAAAGTAGTAGTCATCAGAAAACCGGAAAGCTTTAAAAAGCATCTTCTTGGATGTGCTTGGCAGCCCGCTCGATGCAGCGCTTCCAGCCAGCGAGGAAACACTTTGCACCGCGCTGCAGCCTTCTCTGATGAAAACGGGATGAGAGCTCATGGCTCGGCTACGTGCTAGCAGAGTCCTCCCGAGGCAATGAAGGGGGACGAGCCAAGCTCTGGGTATCTGTGCTGTTCATCCGCAAAGCTGGTAGACATGTCCTGGCAAGCCTGCCAAGAGTCCACTTGAGTTCAATGCCAGCAGCTGCAGAAGATGCCGGAGCATAGCAGGGAACGTGGCTGTACAATGAGCGGCTGAATAGGGGCAGCAGGCAAAACCCGTGACACCAGCACTGCCCACAAGGGTACGTGGCAATGTGGCACACGGGCTCGACTTTGGGCCTCTCTCTGCCGTCTGGGATGCCCAAGCTATCCCTGGAGCAAAAGGCCTTCCGCCGTGGGAAGGGGCCCCACAGAGTTAAGTCACCTCATGCCTATTTGGCACACGGGTGGCTACAGAAAGGGAGGGGGCCCAGTCTCACTCCAAAGCAATGCTGAGCGGTGCTAGCCAGCTCCCAAGTGTAACTGCGGAGAGTAGGCAAGTGGCTCCTCCAGGGGGCACAGGGAGGAATGCTTAGCACCTTTAGCAGTTGTATATTAAGTAGCGTGCAGCTGCCAGTCACGGAAACAGATGGCGGCTGGAAAACCATCATCTAGGACAAAGGGGGCAAAGAAAACAGACCGACAACCTAACATCTTTTGGTCAAGGGGCCTGAGGGATGAGGAGGTCTTAGTTATTCAAGGGGAGCCTGAAGAAGAGGCAGGAGATCTCAGGGGCCAAGGGTTACCTCAGAACAGATCACCAAAAGGAAAAGGCAGGGAGGACGAAGGCTTTGCAGTTGCTCAAGCTGCACGTTTCTGAGCACAAGCGACTTGCACCTGGAGTCAGGAAGGAAGCGTCAGACCCATGCCAGAGTAGTTCAATACCAAGGGCCCTGGAGAGGCTCATCGCCTACCTCGGAAACATCGAGCCGGTATCTGAAATCTGGCTGGTACCAGACTGGACACCAGCCTCGCTGGGCCAGTGGAGTGTCCTAGGTGGGCAATTTCCAGACTCCTAGGAGAGAGGCTGCTTTCCTGAGTAAACATTTGCCAATCAAAGTGTCATGGGCCGATCTGGACAACACGCCCCAGCAGACGTGACCATGTCACAGGCTCCAAAAGCCTCAGACAGTCGGCCCCAGTAATCTCAGCCAGCTGTACTGAGAGCAATTTCTAGCTCTGCCTTACAGAACTGGTTCTGAGCTACTGCAGCTAATTAGTGCTTTGTAAGATACAAGGAAATAAAACTTATAATAATCAGAATGGAGCCAGGAAAGTTAAAATCATCTCCAGAGAATCTGGAAGGCTGGCAGGGGGTCAGCTGTGGCCTAGACAGGAAAATGAATAGAGGCTGCTGAAACCAAGGAGCAAAATCAACTCCTCAAAAGGTGTTTAAAAGCAACAACCTTTACAGCTAGCACCACCTGCTGCACGACTGCGGACATGCAGCTGAGCGAGAAAGGCTGCCTTGGTCGCTAACGCTTTGACAGGATCATTCAGGAGCCTGGAACGACAGCCCTCAGCCCCCGAGAATGGCAAAGAAGCGACTGCTCCCTCAAGGAAGAGATGCAGGTTGGCTTGTAGGTGTCTCTGGCAGCAGACGGCCTAGCCACGCTGCAGGCAAGTCTGGAACTCTGGTTACAACGCCATGGGGGCCATGACGTCGTTACGGTTCATAGCAGAGGTGGGTTCTGACTGGCAAAGAGTCCAGCCAAGTGCAAGCTGCAGCAGCACTGGAACTGGGAGAGGTGGGAGCAGTGTTGTGACCCTGTTCTCTGGCTCTCAGTGCTCAGCCACTAAGCCACCCATGCCTTCCTTCTAGGGCCAGAGGGGCACAGGTGTCCAAGCGTGCTCAGTCCTGTCAGGGGGCCGCTCATTGTTATGCTGCACCTTTCCCATCGCTGATGGCTGTAACTGGCTTCTGTATTGTACAACAGAAGAGAAAAACAGCCCATCCCCTGGAGAGGGTGGGCCCTGAGATAGGCCAGAGAGGGTGGTTCGCCCCGCACTATGAGCCAACCAAGAACAGCCCAAAGCAGAGGAGGAGGGTGGATGTGGGACGTCACAAAGAACCTCAGTTCCTGCACAAAGCAAATGACCTTGCTCCTCTTTAGTCCACTCCCAAACAGGTCACCACGGGGAGGCAGAAGCTTCAGAACTGAGTCCAAGCCAGTACGACAGCACCGTGTCTGCCGCCCATCTCCCAGCATGAGCCAAGGCAGAGCGGTGAGAAGCAGGACGCATCGAGACCCACGCAGGAGCTTCGCATCTCAGGCACAGGAATGGTCTTGACTACAGCTGCTTGCAATTATTCCTTTGGGGGGGGAGCAGACCATGAGCTGCATCACAGCAAGCAACAACACCCCCAGAGCTCCAACTCTGAAGGCTCTGAGTAGAGACCCTGGGTCCCAGGATCTCTCTGACCTGGAGACGTAGTCTGGGTGATTTCCAGAACCGGTTGACCCTATCCACAGAAGAGGCCAATGACCACGCTTCAGCTAATGTCTGAAAGGAGGTCCCACTTGACTTGCGTGGGCTGGAGAAGAATATTGGTAGATGAGTGGCCTGGACAACATGAAAATCCAACAGCACTTTAAGCATTTTGACCCTGAACACACTATTTGGGGTGCCACCCAGGCGCTGAGCTCCCCAGCCGTGCAAGCCGACGGGACTGCCTTCACACATAAAACGAGCAAGGAGCAAGCTGCTATTGGTTCAAATGGAGGCCCCCACAAGGTATTCAAGTACCACACTGTGGCTACGGCTACACCGCCAATCGTGCTCACATCCACATTTCTTATTCTGATCTTTTTGCGGAAGAGGGTTTGCCAATAAAAAGCCCCGTGTAGACGGGGCCATTTGTTGGGGAAAAAACCCCTCTTTTGCAAGATCCTGTAAACCTTGATTTTTTGAGGAATAAGGGACCTTGCGAAAGAGGGTTTTTTCTGACAAACGGCTCTGTCTACATGGGGCTTTTTAATCGGCAAAACCTCTTGCGATTCTTTAAAAAACAAAAAAAAACAAAAAACACACAGCAGTGTAGCAGTAGCCTGAGATCCTGAGTAGGAGGGGGAGGTTCGCAGTGTAGCCGTAGCCTGAGATCCTGAGTAGGAGGGGGAGGTTCCCCAAACCCTTCAGCCTAGAGGACAGGATGAGCAAATACTGAAAACCCTTCTGGGGGGAGATGCAATGCTGCTGTCATAGCCGGATGACCAAGCTAACCAGTCCCTGCTGGATCTGAAGAACACGGGGCAATTCAAGATGCCTGAGAGTGAAAAGCTCTCTGAGCCTTGGGGTGTGGTGCTAGTTAGTGTAACAGTGCACACAGACATTCCTAACGGAAAATCTCCAATCAAGAGGCACACCCGTAGGGGCACTAAACGTTGTAGCAAATGGCTGAAGCAGGGGGACTAGGACTCCCAAGTTGACTTGTGGGGATAGGGTGGGAGCGTCCCGCCATCACTCCTGGTGTCTGAAGGGCAAGCAGGCACAGAGAGGAAAAGGGATTGCTCACAGTCACGCAGCTCATCCGTGGCAGAACTGGGAGGCTGACGAAGCTCTGCAGGAGCAGAGAGGCTCAGCCCAGAGGAAGGACGAGGAGTTAATCGCGGAGTTTTACCCGGAAGAGATGCTTCAGGAGCAGGAATACCCACAAGCCAGTAGAGTTGGCCGAGCGTGACTCCCGCAGTTACTTTATTTGTTGTGCAGTCGCACCACGCAGCCCCGCACGAGACCAGACCCCATCGCGTGAGGTGCTGGACACACAGTAAGAGATCATCTGTGCCCCACAAAGCTCAGTCTAGACAGATGACAAAGGGTGGGAGGGGAAACATGCTCACAAAAGGCAAAGGACTTGCTCAAGGCCAACCAGCAGGTCAGTGTCAGAGCTAGGAATGGCACCCTGGTCTCCTACAGGCCCACCCTGAGCAGTGCTACCTCTCCCAGGTCTCGACCACAGGAAGCTCCGCCGATGACTGTACTGCCCACAAAGTTCCTCCTGAAAGCTGAGCTGCAGGGGAACAGGGCAGACTCACACTTCAGGACTGGATGCTGAGCTCTCTCTCTGTGCACCAAGCAGACCCTTGAGGAGTCTGTCAGGGGCACAGCAGGAGGCAGCTCCTGGAACCATGCACTTAATACCAACTGAAGCATTTCACACAGCAAGCCACAAGAGATGGCATTAGCATGGTCTCAGGTCCACGGGAGGAGGTTCAGAGTCGACGCTGAAAAGAAAGCGAGAGCAGAAGCCATCTCCTCCATGGGCACCATTATACTTATATCTTGCTGTATAAGGCTGGGCAAGGATCTTAGCCAGATGCTCTTGCTTCAGAGAGACTAGCATTAAAGTACTGATGTGGCTCAAAAAATCTGCCCTTTGGTGGGTTTGCCCTCAAGGTTTTAAAGTCTCGAATGCATATGAAATTGGAGTTCTAGTATACGGCTTGATTCTCTAGAGAAGATGCATGCAGCCCATTTCAGGGGCCTAGTCCACAGTACCCCCGAATATTCCAAACCTTCGCAAGCTCTGAAAGGAGGAAGGCTCGGACAGACTTCTCTACGTTCAGAGGGGCGCCTCTCCATCTGCAGCCTGACTGCTGGGCATGTGTTGCATCCACAGTTTTACCCATTTTCATTCCGGTCATTTGAAAGAGACGCTCACCTCTAAGCAGGTCGGAGAGCGGAGGACCACAATCCTCAGGAATTGTGTAGTCCCCTTTCCCGATGTTTTCAAATAGCTTATAGATATTATCCCCCTCAAAGGGATAAAGACCCGTTGTAATGTTGTATCTGTAAATGCAGAAAGATCAGTGAGAGGATGAACACAGGCAACACCAGTTCTAGTTCAGCAAACAGGTAAGTCAGGAAAACAAGAGAAGCTGAACAATGTTCCCTCTAACTTTTTCCATCCATGTGTGGAATACAATTTGTTCTGTGCACCACCAATAGAAACACATGCTACAGGCTGTGGGCAGCCGGGGTGCTCTGCCAATCAGCTGGATGGCACCTGAATCTCTCCTGGGCAGCTGCCCTAGCACTCAGCTTACAGGGAACACTGCATGACAGATGCAGACCCGGATGCATTCCCAACTCCTGACACAGCATTCTCTCAACTTCACACATCCACAAGAACCAGAAACTTATCAAGCTCTCTCTCCGACAAGCTGAGAAGGAAGACTTTAAAATAAATGCTTGTGGGGTGCTCAGATACTGCCCCCATAGGAGCCTCAAACACACCTGGCCAGATAAGGATTGAGAAATGGCTGGTATGGAGTTACCATAGTCAGAGAGACTGGTTCCAATTGCTCTGGCCCTCTGGGCATTTGCTCCTGGATGTACCCACCATTCAATGGGGAGGGCTAGGCTCACAGGGCATCCCCAGCTGCAAGTCCCAGAACAAGCCTGTGGCCGAAGCAAGTAACCCATGGGAGCAGAACAGAGTCACTCAGCAGCTGCTGAAAAATCGCACAGGTAGCAGAAGGGGGTGTAGCCCCCCCCCCGAAAAAAATCGAACAGGCAGCAGAAGGGGGTGTGGCCCCCCCCTTAACGCATGTTCATTGTCAGGGCTCCTAGCAGCCAGACCAAATCTGACCTAGGATTTGTTGGGAGGGTTACAGATCCCCGAGGGTTCCCGGGCAGGCACTTACAGCGTGACCCCTGCTGACCAGATGTCCACTTTGAAGCCTGAAAAGGTATCCAGGCCATTGGCAATTTCTGGCGGCTGGAATGCTGGCGACCCTTGGCTCGTTCTGCATGTATCGTCCTCTGCAAACGGATGCAATGCCTGCAGCAAGAGACGGGCAGGTCAGTGTGCCAAACTTGGCAGACGTCATCGAGGATCATACCCAGGATAAAAGCTTCACCCTCGTGAGCACCCCAAGTGTGCCTCGGCCCAGTTCGGGGGGTAACTACAATACACCACCTGTAGTCTCAAAGAACAAGCGGAGCTGGCAGGGTCACATGTAGCTGAGGTAGGATAACTCGCCCTAGCATAAAGTTCCCATTTTCAATTACTTATAACCAGGGCACGCTGAACCGTGGTGAGCCCCGCTCACCAGCCACGCTGTCCAGCAATCTGCGCATGCGCAGATCACCCGAACCCAGCTCTTCTGGGTTACAATCTACTCGCCACGGGCGAGTAGGTTGTATTATTTGTCGAGCCCTGCTTATAACCTTGCCCAACTAAACATTTAGACTGAGGCTTTCTATGCTGTATGTTTTTCCTAGTCCACTTTTTAAAGTTTCAGGTAAAACAGTTCAAACATTTCGCATAATGAGATTAGGGGAACATGTATTGATCTGTCCATAAGAAAAGCCATACCGAGCCAGATCAATGGTCAATCTAGCCCAGGGTCCTGTCTGCTGACTGTGGCCAACGCCAGATGCCCCAGAGGGAGCGAACAGACCAGGGAATCATCAAGTGATCCCTCCCCTGTTGCCCATTCCCAGGTTCTGACAGACGCTGGGGACACCCTCCCTGCCCATCCTGACTAACAGCCATTGATGGACCAAACCTCCATGAACTTCTCTAGCTCTTTGTTGAACCCTGTTATAAGCTTGACCTTCACATCCTCTGGCAAGGAGTTCCACAGGTTGACTGTATGTTTGTTTTAAACCTGGTGCCTTTAAATTTCACTTGGTAACCCCTACTTCTTGTGTTATAGAAGCATTATTTACTCCTTTTCACTTTCTCCACACCACTTGTGATTTTATAGACTTTGGTCATGTCCCCTCTAAAGAGTCTCTTTTCCATGTCAAAACGTCCTCACAATTCTTTTGTTGAGAAACTCTAAGACACTCTTAAGAGTTTGTGTCAAGGAGTGCCTTTTGCTGTCCCTATGGAAAATCATCTACACTCAGCCCAATTATCAGACTCTGAAAATCTCAGTTTTGACCTGATTTAGCATAACAACAACAAAAAACCCGATTGTAACGGAGGGTGAACCAATAACGCATAGCAGAGGGGGCTGAATAGAAGCTGCCTATTCGACTTCAATTCATGAATTTCCTGACTATTGAGCACTTGACTTTTGTAACCTTACAGTTCTTTTGATGACTTCTTTTGGAGACACACATGCTCGTGTCCCTCCAAGTCTCCAGTGTGTAGGTCTCTAGCTGGTGCAGGGAATGAGGTTCACAAGCCATCCTCACGTACCTCTGCGACTCCTAAATCGGATATTTTTAGTGTCCCATTGGTTGTTAGCAGGAGGTTCCCCGGCTTTATATCCTTGTGGACAATCCCTTGGCTATGCAAGTATTCCAAGCCATCTATGAGCTGGCAAAAGTACCTAGGGGGAAAAAGAGGGGGGGAAGGGGGGAGAAGTGAGTCAAGTGACTGAAGCTCCATCTGAGCTATTGCCAACATGCAGAGGAAGAAGGGCAGTGCTCCAGGATGACACAGGCTGGGCCTACATTCCCTTTGCTACAGGGAAACTGGAGCAGGTTAGGTCTATTGCATGTTTAGAACAGAAGTGTCCACCTGCTGCAGCTAGGCCTAACCTTCCCTTTCTCCGAGACACTTGACTGTCCTAGATCACAGCTCTCCCACTCTGTATCTGGCTGTAAGTTCCGCTAGCTGGCAGAGACAGGGAGCCAGGTACAGGCCCCAAGAGGGTTTCTGGCTCGGAAGCAGCTCAGCAGACATTTATCTCAGTTCCATGCATGACTCCTCCCTTCCTCACGCTCACTCTTAGCAAGATGTGACCAACTGCGCCGTGGGGTCTCCAAGGGAGCCACAGAACAGCAGGCCTGGCCCTTGCACGCAGCGGGCTAGGCAAAGCAGGGCACGCAAGCAGCTGTCCTCCGAGCTGACATCTACCGATGTCAAGTTGACATCTCGGAAAGACGCAACAGAGCCTATTAACCATCGCAGCTGGGTGCACCGGAGAAAAGGCACAGCCAACCTCCGCAGGCACACTGACTGGCAAGTGCTGCACAGGGGCCAGCATCTAGGTGGCTTCTCTCAACACATCGCTAATTTACAGTCAAGCTACGGGCAAAGTTACATCCGGGAAGCTGAGACTTGGGGCTGGAGGAGAATGAGAAAGAAGGGACGTGTAGGACTGTTAGGAGAGCCCTTAGGAACTGAAATGCTTCTATTTCAACCTCTCCTGCACCCCATAGCTAGTGGCACAGCCATGCCTGGCAAGCTGCTAGTAACCTGTAAATACCCATTAAGTGGTGAGCTTTCAGGGAGCGTGGAGTGAGCGAGCCTTTCCCAGGATGCACAGCACAGCAGAGCAGACTGGGGACTGACAGATTATGCATCAGCCAAGACCTGTAATTTCTTCACGGGGATTTGACTCTCTAGCTCCCCCTGGCAGGTCAGAGGGTGTCAGTCTTGTCAGGAAAAAGCCCCAATTTCCATAGGTCCTGACTGAGGGCTCGTCTAGACTTGCTTTCACTTTCAAAAGAAGAGAAGCAAATTCGGCACAAAGAGGAAAGGATTTGACTTCGGCTCCAAATGCCCCGCTCAGGCCGTGCAGGGCAGGGTACGGAGCATCACAGGGCTGCTGCTCGTGATTTTTCACCCTCCTCCCTTAACATGCTGCCCAATAAAACAGTCACCACGAAACACCAGGAGGAGACATTTCCTGGGAGGCAAAATCTGGGTCTAACTTGTCAGCAAGTTGCACATTTAGCTCTGGGCCAGCTGATCAGTGATGGGGCTTATTTCCCTCCTCCAGAGGAGGACTTGGTCACACCAGAAGGCGTTCGGAGGGTATTGCCCTCCGGTGCAGCTTCCCGGCACTCAACACGGCCTCAGCCGCCTCTCGGGAGCAGCTAAGGCACGTGCAAGGCAGCGCGGCAGGAAAGGGAGTCAGGAGGGATCTTGGGGTGCTGAGATCAAAACCCTAGAACAGAAAAAAGCTTTTGCTTCCCAGAATCCCCCACGCCCCTCAGCGTCTGATTTTCTTGGGGGACGCTCTCTTGTACCGGACGCACGCTCCGCTTCAAAGCTTGTTATGAGCGCAGCCAGCAGCCCAAGCCAGAGCGTGGGAGACGATCCCCATGAACGCAAGCACCATGGCAAGAGTGGGACACACTGTGGGTTAAGAACAGCTGCTGCACTTACCCGTGAGCCTGAAAGACTGGAAACCTCTTCTCTGGGACGCTGTCGAGCATCTCCTGCATGCCGCACACGCAATACTCCATCACCATATACGTGAAGGCAGAGTTAAGGAAGCACCATGGTTAAAGGCACGCCCAGACGAGCCCCGCTCTAATGGCAGTTCTGTGCCACTGGGGAGCGGCAGTGCCCTGCAGGGTACATGCGCCAGTCGTTGTGCCATGTTTTGCGAGGCCCTCCCGTTCAGTCTCTATTGGGGCAGCCTTTACAGGGATGCTAGGGGCTGATTCTGAAGCTGGGGTAAGGGGGAGGAAGCATTTCCTCGGTTCCTGCCTGTTTAAAGGGAAGGTGCCTGCTGGAGGTGGCTCCATGCAGCAGTGAAATTCCTTAGTGTGCCCTTGAGGCACTGGGAAAGGAATCCCCTCTCCAGCCCTGATCCTAGGGAAGAGAAGCTGTCATCCAACCCTCAGAGTGGTGGCTAGGCCTGATTTTTTGCCTCCAGACCAGTACTTTCAGTGGGGCCCAAGTTTCCTAGAGCACCTCTGAGCCCAGCTTTCTCTTCCAGAAGGGACAGAATAAGAGACGCGTGATTTGGGGGCTGTTTTAGGAAGAATCAATCATAGAATACTAGGACTGGGAGGGACCTCGAGAGGTCATAGAGTCCAGAAGCCAAAACGTTTTTGCTTTCACATTGTGGTGTTTGTCCAACCCCCACACAGACAGTCTCAAACAGGGCTGAGGAACTGTCTGAATCGAGGTCGGGGTTTCCTTGGGGATGATCCTTCCTTTCATTTGCCCCACAGCTCCTTTGGTCTCCAGGCCAGGGCACCAGGCCAGGGCTAGGAGAGGGAAGGCAAAATACTTGCCAGGCTCCTCTTCAGCAATTCTTGGCCAGAAAGGCAAATCCCAGGGAATCCAGGAGAATTGTGGTTAGCTAGTAAGAGGAAGGGGGGCTTGAGCTGCCCTGGGAGATCTGGGCCACTACCCCATAAATACCCCAGGCCCGATGGACAGAAATAGCTGGTGAAAACTCCTCAGAGAGAAGTAACAGTCTAGGCCCCTCCCTGTCAGCAGGGCATAAACACTCTGGGCTGTTGGGCACTAAAGGGAATAAGGCTACAAGGACCTTCAGTGATTGGCTGGGTCTGTGTATGTGGCTCTGTCTATTTGATAGCCAGGCACAGGGAGAAAGAAGGGATCTGCCGCTGGAGACCTGGTCAGCAGCAGCCACCGCTAAGGTAGGGGTAGGCAGGTCGGGGATGGCTTTAGAGGAATTGCCCATACACCACTGCTTCATGTGCTTCTCACTCTTTGCCTCTCCCCTGGTGGGGCTGCTTGCTCCTCCAGCTGGCTCAGCCCAGGAAAGGGGGGTCATGACAGATCTCACTTAGACGTTTCTCCTCGCAGGAAACTCTCAGGGCAACCGGAAAGCCCCATCAGAGCTTGCCTTAAAGCCACAGGTAGTGGAGGCCTGCAGGGCCACGCAAGAACACCACATTTCTGAGATGTAGACAAGGAAGCAACGCGACTCTGGGGACACGCTCCCTATGAGTGCAGGGCACTAGTTTTGCCACTAGTCAGTCCTGGCAAAGCCCTTCCTTTTCAGGCTAGGCCAGAGAACAAGCTGCTGGTCTCCACACATGCTATAGCTCCCTGGGACGACTGACAGCCACAGGAGAAACGCGCCTGTTTTCAACGGGGGCCTTAAACTGTTCCACTTCTCTAGCACGTTCCCCCCGCGACCCCAAAGGGCTCTGCAAGCCTCAGATTGTGATCTTGCAGCTCTCATCCAGAGAGGGAAACGAAGCCAAAGACAACACGTGACTGATCCGGGACTAGAAGCCAGAGCCCGTAAATCTCCCTTTCTTGATCTAATCCCCAAGGAAGCGGCTTGCACCAAAGAAGGGAATGAGCGGGAAGAAAGAAACCTTCCCACCTCTGAGTGAGAAATGCTAAGCTAGCTCCCACTTCACGGGTGTCTCAGAGTCAATTCCAGCCATGGCGCCTTTCTAGAAAGGACACTTCGCTTCCTATTTAAATAGCAGCCAAAATGTGTCATCCCCCCGGCGCCATTACCTGCAGCTGAGTGTTCTCTGGCTGACTAGCTAGATTACAGCCCACGCACCATTCAGGCTGGAACGTTCTCCCGCGTACGTCTATTACAGGCGAGCACGAGAAGGCAGCAGCTCTCATTTCTCCGAGTCAGTAGGACTCTCCTCCCACACACAGTTGCAGCTATCAATAATAGAAGCCATCAGGAGAGGATGCCAGCCAGGAGGTTGCTTAATAAACTAGGTTTATTTTCTGCTTGGATGAGGCTCTCCATTCATCTCCAGTGCTGCCCTCCCATCAACTGTGGATCTGCTTAATGGCCTGTTAAATGCCAAAGTCTGTTTTTAATCCATTCACCACAGCTTTCCTGGGTCCAAAATCAGTGAAGCCTGTGACCAGACAAGCAATGTGCTGGACACTGCACTGCCAAGGTAAAACCTAGCCAACGCATACATCTCACTTCCACCACCTCAGCGGCCCCGAACGGGGGTGGAGCAGAGGATGAAAACAAGCGTCTTTGATGCTCTTCTGGAAACGCACTTTTCAGGGGCAAATGCTTGTGCTTCAAGAGACAAAGACCGTCTTTTAGAATGGGACGGGGGAGGGGGAAGAGGCAGGCACACCAAGAGCTGCTCAAATTCTAAACTAAAGAAAAGGGATGCTTCGGATGGACCATGTCATCGGACTTGTCATTCTCCTCCCTGTGACCAAGGCTCCCAAACACACAAAATCCACAAGGAGGCTTTGCTCACAGGAGTAACTGAAGCTGAGCCCCCCCCCAGCCCTACTGCCACACAATACCGTCCCATCCACAGACTATTCAGGGTGGCCGTCCCCACAATTTGGGGAGGCCCACAGCAGCCACCTCAGCTGTCCTATGGACACGATGGTTCCCCATACTGATGCTAGCCATGGGGAAGGGGTGGAATGGGGATGGGACAGAGCAGACTATCCATACAATATGATGGGTACTAATTTAGCTATAACCACTCAGAGATCTTGCACTCAGTGTGGATAGTTTGCTGAAGACATCCATTCAGTGTGCAGCAGCAGTCAAAAAAGTAAACAAATTGTGAAGCATCATTAAAAAGGGAGAGAGAATATCTTACTGCCTCTATATTAATCCCTGATACGCCTACACCCTGAATACTATGTACAGATGTGGTTGTCTCATCTAAAAAAAGATCTACTGGCATTGGAAAAGGTTCAGAAAAGGGATTTGGAACAGGTGCCTTATGAAGACAGATTAAAAAGACTGGGACTTTTCAGCTTAGAAAAGAGGAGACTCGGGGGGATATGATAGAGGTCTATAAAATCATGACAGGTATACAGAAAGTGAATAAGGAAAAGTTATTAACTTGTTCCCATAGCATAAGAACTAGGAGTCACCAAATGAAATGAACAGGTAGCAGGTTTAAAACAAGCAAAAGGAAGTTTTTCTTCATGCATCAGAGTCAACCTATGGGGTTCAAAAAGAGCTAGATAAGTTCAAGGAGGATAGGTCCCTCAATACGTATTAGCCAGGATGAGCAGAAATGGTGTCCCTAGCCTCTGTCAGGGGCTGAAAATGGATGATTGGGAGGGATCACTTAATAGTTACCTGTTTCTGTTCACTTCCTCTGCGGCATCTGGCATTGGCCACTGTGGGCAGACAGGACACTGGGCTAGATGGACCTTTGGTCTGACCCAGTCTGGCTGTTCTTATGTTCAGAGGCAGAGCAGGGCCTGGGGTGTGTGTGTGTGTGGGGGGGGGGGGGCCTGGGCCCTGCACCTCCTCTAGGGATGGCCCTACTGCAGAGATGTTTGCAAAGGGGTCCCACCCTCCCTGGCTTTCCTTCTTGATTAACTTCTGAGCTGTCATCACCTTTTGCAAACACATGAGGTCTCCCTTGGGCTCTTTTTCCTTTCAGAATTTCAGCTCTTTATTAAATCAAACAGCAGCTTTCTATGCAGAGTGACTGAATTATCCAGTGACCAAAATAAGGGAGGAAAGTGGTAATGTTGTTTATAATACTAATGACCTAGCTGCAAAGGCTTTGATCTAATAAAGTGCTGGATTAAATTAACTGGTGACTGTAAAGGGAGCACCCCCTATTGAGGAGCAAGTGTTGAAAATAAAAGCAACCATTTAACAGGGAAGGCAACAATGGTTCAACTCAATAAGGCCACATTGGTTTAAGCCAAAAGACACTTGGCTGTAGCACAGCAGCCTTTTCAGGAAGCATCTGGCTGCTCACTTTTACCCTGAAAAGGAGATCAGAGCAAACAGCAAGATTTGTAACTCATTCATTGAAGTTGGAGCAGTGTCTTGAGGATGCAGCACCAAACACTGGTTTGAGGTCTTGGTGCTCCCAGAAATCACAATCTAGGGCTTGGTTCCAAAACCAGGATTGTTTGATCTTGAAAAGTCAGGTTACATACCCCAGGGGAGTGGCATGCTCCGTATCTCTTGGGTTTATCGTCAGGCTTTGAGTGTTTAAGGCCCTTTTCACACTGTGCACCTTACAGGGGACATTCAAGGGAAGGACACAAAACCCAAGGTGGCTTTAGACAGTCTGGGAGCTAGCTCTGACCAGTGAAGAATATCAAGCCGGAGACTCCAGGGTTCAGCAATGCACATCTTTCCACAAGGCAGAAGTGCTGGCAGGGACCTGTACTCCAGAGAACAAGTGAATGGTTTTAACAAGAGGAAGGAACACCACACTTTGGCGTAGTTGAAGTTGACCTGCTGTAAGGTTGGCGGGGGCTGCTCTCCCGTCAACGTCGGCTACTCCTCGTCTTGGTGGAGTACCAGCGTGGAGGGGAGTGTGCTTCGAGATCAATTTATTGCGTCTAAGCAGACATGATAAATGCATGGCCAGAGAATAGATCGCTGCAGCAACAATACACTGTGCTGTGTAGACAAGGCCTAGGCCTGCTAGGTTCTATTTCTAGTTCTGATTTACTGTTTGACTGTCAACAAGCTAGTTTGACCCCCATCTGCGGCAATGCTTCTACTCGACTGGAAACTTGAACTTGAGGAAATGCGCTTGGATGGAAAGTGCTACTGAGATGCAGAATGTATTTTAAAACTTGAATAAATTCAAGCCCAGGAAATACTCAAATGGGTCTTAACCACCTAAATTGGAATCCTTTCAAAACACCATGAGGATTTAGAACAGTCACGTCTAAAAACAAGACTCAAAACCTTCATATCAACACCCAAGTGAAAGCAAAAGGATATATTTTCTGCTTCTCTTCATTATACAATACATCTACCAGCTGGATGACATTTTTGTGTCGTAGTCGTCGCAGGAGCTGAATTTCCCTGAAAGAAGAAAAAAGAAAAAAAAAGTAAGTGTATACCTCTACTACGGAGTGAAAATAATATTAGTCTATAGTTGCATGAATTGCAGAGTAGTTTTAGACACTGCTAATCCCAGTTGCTTTGCCCAAAATTAGCAACATGTTTTGTTTGACGGACAGAGCTATGAGTTTATTCTTTGGGTTTGTTAACCCAGAGTTAGAACCTAAAAATATTTGCATTCATTGACTAGAATCATGGGTCACCCCCTCATCTGAAAGAAAAAGATCACATGCGCTACTCCAATGCTGTTGAGTTTAGTTCCCCAACACAGCAAGAGGATGTTTAATTGAGAGTAAGGAAACTGGAATTATTCACAAGACCCAGCTGTGCTGGCATACAGCGTTGGAAGTGCAGTGTCTGTCAATGTAAAGGCGCGTTTTTCATTGCAGTGTGCTTCCCAGGGTAGATCTGGGTGCCAGGTTATCCATCAAGTTTGGCTAGGCTTATTGCACTCCGTGTTTTACAGAAGAAAATGAGGGAGGAAGGGGGGGAAGATTTGTCAAACAAGGAACAGCAATGCAACTGCAAACTCAATAACAGGAAGAGCAATCTAATGCTGTGTCACCCCACACAGGAATCAGCTGATCAGAGGGTTCCATTGGCAAGTCATCTTAGCCAGCACACTGCTTGCTAGCAAAGGGAGACAGTGCACAGGGACACTAATAAAAGGAAGTAGTTCTTCACACAGCGTGTGGTCAACCTGTGGAACTCCTTGCCAGAGGAGGCTGTGAAAGCTAGGACTATAACAGAGTTTAAAGAGAAGCTAGATAATTTCATGGAGGTTAGGTCCATAAAAGGCTATTAGCCAGGGGATAGAAATGGTGTCCCTGGCCTCTGTTCATCAGAGGCTGGAGAAGGATGGCAGGAGACAAATCGCTTGATTATTGTCTTCGTTCCACCCTCTGGGGCACCTGGTGCTGGCCACTGTTAGCAGACAGGCTACTGGGCTAGATCGACCTTTGGTCTGACCCAGTACGGCCGTTCTTATGACACCCAAGCCTGCAGCCCGCATGCCTTCCCAGGATGGGTCTTTCTCCAGCAAGTGCCTGCAGATCAACTCCGCATCCTCTCCAGGCAACAGTTCACGGTAGAAGTCACAAAACCCCTCTGAATTCTAGGATATGCAGGAAGCAGCTTCATTAGCTTTTCCCAGACCAAGTACTCTGGCTAGAGAAGCTAGAAAGCTGGAGTTCACAGCTGGCCTCTGCCCCTGAGCCCTAGAGATGGATCATGAGCCTTACATAACACCTGCCAAGTAGTTTGGATGCCCAGCCCTAATAAACATTTCTCTCTGCATTTCACGATTTGGACCGCAGGAATACCATCATCTACATGAGCTAGGATGATCGTGCTAAGGATCAATGCATTTATCAGCAGCAAGAGAATCCAAAAAATAGCACTGTGCTGTGTCACGGTATAGGGCATTGCTGCGTAATTATGTACATTACTCTCTGTGATGGGTTCTGGGCAGGCACTGTAACAGACTAGCCGGACTGTCATTCTGTTCAGGAGGACACTTCCTTATTAAAGGGAACATTAACTTGAAATCTAGCCTTCTCCCAAAACGAGTTAAAAACAATTCCAACCTTTCTTTAATTCCTACAGTCTACTACTGTTTGAGAGTCAATGGGCACAAAACATTGGAAACTAATCAGCTGACTGCATGATTTCAGGTAGATGCCAAAAAATCAATTAAAGAAATTCAGTCAGAGAATTTAAGGCCACAAAGGACCATTAGATCATCTAGCCTGACCTATCTAACACAAGATTAAACCGGAGTAAAATATTTTCCCCATTAATCATAGAACAGTCACAACTAAGATCACTGTAACAGTAAACAAAACAATTTCAAGGGAGCCTACTGAGTGTCGCAGTACAGAAGGGATGAGCAAAATACACCCCATAGGTCAGATCTGGACTGCCAAGCTACCGATTCACCCAGCATCTCTACCCCACATAACCCAAACCCTCTGCCATCTCGCTCCTGCACTGATACCTGCTTCCAGACCTGGCATAATAGTCTCCTGCTGCCCTAGGTCACAACTCAAACCCATGCATCCCATCTCGCGCCTCTACCCCAGGTCACAACCCTTTCCTTCACCCAACCTCCCTTTCAGACCCCCTCCATTAATAATGGAAGAGTGCAACCTTTGACCACTTAAATTTGTGGAGTACCCTCCCCGCCATCAAAAATTATCACCACCCCTGCTGTAAGGTGCCCTGATAAACAAGAATAGTCCACTGGCCAGTCACACTCTTGGCTGCTGTTTAAAATGAGGTTAATCTGTTTGCAATTCAACTCTCAGCCCCTCCACAGCCCCCTTCTCAGTCACTGATCACGGGGACGGGGAAGGGACGAGGCTTGTTACTCAACGCAAGCGCTTCTTGGCGACTAGGCCCCATGCGAATTAAGGAATGCTAGTTGTGCACAGGGAAAGCTTACACATGCCACTGCTCCTCCTGCAGTGGTTATTCAAGGAGATACACAAATAAGCCAAGGTGGCATCTAGGAAGGAAAGCTGTAATTTTCCTGCTTCCCCATCTCCTCCCTGGCTTTACCACAGGAGAGTTAGCTATCAATGGTGCCTTGAGACGGAGCCACAGCCTCACTGTCCAAGAGCATCACTTCTCTGGCCATGCACTGGATCCCTAGCCATAAAAGGGAAGGCAGGCCTCAGACTGGGAGCGGTGAATCACTTCATCATTGCAGCAAGCGTTGTTTAGAGTTCAGCTTGTTCCAGAGGTTCCCACTGGACTGGAACCAAATCCTCCCCTCTGATTGTGCTACCACTGCAGATGCAAGAAGTAGATAGGTACAAGTGGCTCATGCCGAATAAAAACCCAAATTCCTCTCATGCAACAGAAAACGATCTAGGTAGCTCCTGGGACAGACCCAGATGAGCTGGCTGCTGCATACTGAGGGAGGAAAGACACGCTGGGGCTTGGGTGAACTGAGTAAAAGAAAGCCCAAAACCAAACTGCAGCATAATCAGGCAAGCACCTGGGGCCAATTACAGCTTGCTAGAAGCTATTGGTTGATTAGACACCTGCAGCCAATTAAGGCCTGCAGTGCCACTTTAAAAGGGCTCCCCCAGACAAAAAGGGGGAAGGAAGAGAGTAAGGACAGAAAGGAGGAGCTGTGTGGGGTGAGCAGAGCACTGACCAGAAGGTACCAAAGGAAAGGAGCTGGGGGGGACTGTTTGGAGAAGTGGCCAGGGAAAAGCTGCCAGATTGAGTGTGGCAGTAACCCTGCCTGTTGCCACTGGCTTAGGGTCTCTGGGTTGAAACCCAGAGCAGTAGGCAGGTCTGGGTCTGGGTCTCCCCCTCGCCACCAACATCTCAACCTCTGCCTGGAGAAGGGAGATCAGGAATCCAGAGAGGATTATACCCCAAACTTATGAACTAGCCTGTGATGAGGATGGATCCTGCCTCTAGTGAAGAGAAAGAGGCCGTGGGGAGGGCCTCTGACACGATCCACCAGTAGCACAAGACTCATGGGGAACAGCTGGGGCTTTGC